AAGGTCCTCAAGGTCGAGAAGGGAGAGTGTTGACATGTCGTGGGGTTGTTAACCAATGTCATAAAACAATATGTGTACTGACTGTTTAATGAGAAACCATTTGTTCTGTTAACCTTCATCTAAAGTACGATAAAAAAAATTCAAAAAAAAGTAGGATAAATGTTAATTCTTTAATATTTTTAAAATGAGTTGGTCCAATCTGACCACTGAGATACTTCTGCTTTTGCGTGTCATTATGAATGTGGAGTGGCTCTTCAGGCACATGGTATGCTCAGCTGTTTACCTCCTGCCTTGACTCCTGGGTAACCTGCTTCAGGATGTGTGATGGGGGAGCAGACACTGGGCCTTCCTGGCAGAGGCAGAGAGCAGTTTGGATAGAGATGTCAACGTTGGTGGTAGGTCTTGAGGGCTTCCATATTCATTCATCTTGAAAAAGTTCTGGTCTCCAAATTCATTTATTCCTGTATAGTGGTTTCCTAGATTGTTTGTGGTCTTAATTTTATAGAGCTTTTCCCCATGTTACCTTAAAATAGGTAACAGAACAGCCTGAAGCTTTGGAAAGAGGCATAAAAACAAAATACCAAACCAGTTGTCATCAAGTCTATTTCAGTGGGTGGGTTCAAACTACCAACGTTAGGGTTTACAGCAAACCACTTGCGCCACCCAGGGACCTAGGAGAGGCGAGGTTAATCCTAAATCCTTAAAGGAAGCCCACCTAGGAGGGAAACCAAGTAACCTTCGAAATGTTAGGGGTGAAGGACAGAGCATGGTTTTCAACACTGGCTGCTTATTAGAATTACTTGAAACACATTTAAAACCAACTCCAGAGATTCTAATTCAATTGGTTTGGGGTGACACCCGGAGAAGGGCAACTTTTATAAGCTTTTTGCAATGTGATTCTAACGTTTGTTGTTGTTAGTTGCCGTCCAGTCGGCTCTAACACATAGCCGCCTTATATATAATAGAACAAAACGTTGCTAGGTTTAACCCAGTGCCATTCTAAGCACCAGGGAACTCTAGCCGGCTAATGTCAAATTGTGCCACACCTGTAGCCTCACTGCCTCGATCCAGGTGTCTGATGTTAGTAGATGCTGCCTCTGCCCTGTCGCCCACAAGACTAAACAAGCAAATAAGATGCCAAGGACATCTCATCCTCCCGGGTGTGCTAAGGCTTTAATAAGCCTGTTTGGTTCCAACCCTGGGATCTTTAACATAACCTACAGCACTCTGCCGCGCTCTCAATTCCAAGAATGACTTTGTTTACTATGTGTCAGATACTGTTCAAGGAGCCCTGGTGGTACAATGGTTAAGAGCTTAGCTACTAACCAAAAGGTTGGTGGGTGGAACCCACCAGCTGCATTGCAGAAGAAAAGACCTGACCATCTGCTCCCATCTATAGGGTCACTAGGAGTCGGAATTAACTCGATGGCAATGGATTTGTTCTTCGTTTTTTTTTTTTACGTATGGTCTAAGTGCTTTAAACCCCTCAACACCCCTGATCATTTGGTATCATTATCTCCATTTAACAGATGAGCAACTGGGGAACTGAGGGGGTTAAGTGACTTGCCAAGGTCACCAGCCTGTGTCTAGGGTTCTTTCCTACCACGTACTGTCACAGGCTGTGCTTTACATTCAGGCCCTCTCAAGGAGCGACTTCCTCTTTTCCTTTGCACAATAAATATTGACTCTTGGTGTAGGGGCAACTTGCAGAATGCAAGGCCTGAGGAAAGGTGGGGAGGGCCCGGCCAGGGGGATCCTGAACCCCAGTTCCTTAGCATCAGGCCGAGTAGACCCCTACCCTGGTGGTGAGATCAGTCACTTGCTTCCCCAGGGCCCCCTTCACAGCTCCAAGGTCTGAGTGTTTGAGAGCAAAACCTAGAAAGTCTTGGGGCTGCTTCTACCTGTGACCCCTCCTCACTCTCCTTCCTGTGCCCACACGGTTTCACCCACAGCTCTTTACTCACTCTCCCCGTTACTCATCCAATTCTGTGACTTCTCCCATGCCCCACTTCCTATGCATCAGACTCCACATATAGCTGCCCAGTGCCCATCGCCACCCAATTTCTAACAAGAACTAATTACTGACCACCCCCCATCCTATGATTCCCATCTCATAAAATGACATTGCCATCCACCCAAGCCAGGTACTCTGACCACAAACTAACCCAATTCTCCCCCCACATCCAGTCAGCCACCAAGTGACCTTCATTGCACCACTCAACCTAGCTGTTACAGCCATCATTCCTGTCGATTCCCAATTGCCCTAGGACAGGCCACACCTCAGAAGCCAACAGCCTCATTTCCTTCCAAAGCCCAACCCCAACCCCCGTGCTTCGTGTACTATCCAAAGCAAACCAAATGTAGCTTCCTGAACACTCCATGTTGTTCTCTAGGCTCCCAGGATTGGTCCCTAATGGAATCCGGCTCGTGCTACAGAAAAACACGTGCACCACAGCTCTCCCGACCTCCTCCGGAACTCCTGCAGGCGCCAGACTGTGACGTAAGCATCTATTTACAGGTCTCCCGGCGGCTCCCGGGCGTGGCCATACTGCAGCCCCGCCCCAGGCCCGAGGCCCAACGCGTAGGAAGCTTTCGGTTTCCCGAGGGTCTCCACGGTCAGAGACTTCACCTAGGCCTGCAAGCCCCGCCCTCACTGGCTGGCTCTCCGGAACTAGTCGCCGCGCCCCGCCCCTGAGCCCTGCAGGGATTGGTCCTGGCGGCCCCGCCCAGGGTCGGATTGGTCCAAGGTGAGGCCCGCCCGCTTGCCAACTTGGGCCTGTGGAGACAGCGGAAGGGCGAGCGTCTGGTCATGGCCGGGTGCCGCCGCCTGGAGCTGGCCGAGGCCCTGGCACTGGGGCCCGGTTGGCGGCACGCGTGCCACGCGCTGCTCTACGCGCCCGACAAGGGGCTGCTCTTCGGTCGCATCCCGCTGCGCTATGTCGTACTGGTGAGGAGGGGGCGTGCGGCCACTCCCGGTCCCTGCCCCGCCCCTGCCTGCTCCCCGGGCTGCGCCTCCTCGGGCGCCGCAGCCCATCCCCGCTTCCCCTTTCGCAGATGCAGATGCGCTTCGATGGGCGCCTGGGCTTCCCAGGTGGCTTCGTGGACGCGCAGGACGGCAGCCTGGAGGATGGGCTGAACCGCGAGCTCCGGGAGGAGCTGAGTGAGGCGGCGGCCGCCCTCCGCGTGGAGCGAACCGACTACCGCAGCTCTCACGCCGCGTCCGGGCAGCATGTCGTGGCCCATTTCTACGCCAAGCGTCTGACGCCAGAGCAGCTTGCAGCGGTGGAGGCCGGCGCACCGAGCGCCAAGGACCACGGGCTGGAGGTGGGACCAGCCCAGAGATCCCGTCCCACACCCGATCACGCCTATGCCTTCCTCCTCTCTTGCAAAGCCTCCCTGTAGGCAGGTCAGCCCCCTCTGACCTCGCCCTGTCTTGTAATTCCCTGGTATACCTGAGGCCTTGGTCTTCTCTCAATTGATTGGCTGTCAGCCTACCTAGTCTCCCTGCCAAGGTTTTCAAGCTGCCCCCCCACCCCCTTGCTGGCCTCTGCAGGAATCTTTCTAGAAGATACAAGTCTCTCTCCTGCTTCTCATTGATAATGGCCAGGCATGGCTTTCTAGGCCTTTATTTTTAGGCCCCTGCTTTTCTTGGGTAGGAGATGTGTTCTGGTACTTTGAGGGGAAGCCTTGGCACCAAGGCTAGGTGAGCAGGGAAACAGATTGTGTATGGAGGTGGTTCTTGCCCTTTGGCAAGTATCAGGATCATCTGGAGGTCTTATTAAAACCCAGGTCACTAGGTCCCACTCCCAAAATTGCTGGTTCAGTAGGTTTGGGGATAAGGAGAACCCAAGAGATTGCATTTTTCCCTAGTTCCCAAGTCACGCTGGTCTGGGTACCACACTTTGAGAACCAGAGCCAAACATGCATCCTGGAGGCAGAAGCCACTGAAGGTTTAAGGGAGAGATGTGGGAAGAATTAGCATTTGATGTCTTGAGTTATTTGCCCTAGAGCTGGGCCCATTAGGCTCCATCAAGGTATGATCCTTGGTATGGTTCTGCTAGGCTAGTAAGGGGTGAGGCCTCTGCTCTAAAAAGAGCTGACTGGGGTGAGGGTAGGGGTAGGGGGGTGGGCTACCTGGGTTCCCAGCGCCCCCTGTCTACTTCTTTCCACAGGTGCTGGGCCTCGTGCGGGTGCCCCTGTATACCTTGCGGGATGGTGTGGGAGGCCTGCCTGCCTTCCTAGAGAATTCCTTTATTGGCGCTGCGCGGGAGCAACTGCTGGAAGCCCTCCAGGACTTGGGATTGCTGGAGTCTAGATCCCTCCAGGGCCTTAAGATCTCAGCTCGTCACTAGAGGCAGCATTTCGTGGGCCTGAGGAACTTGATCTCAGGACCTTGGCAAAAGGGAGGAAAGGAAAGAGGAGTGTTTTTTCTTCTGGGCCTGGGAGATGGTAGATCATAGCAGATTAAAAGAAGAAGTATGTGCAATATGTTCTGAGCAGAGACCCTCCTGCCACCCCCTCCTGCCAATTCACAGCATCAGGAGCAAAAATCATCCCAGGAGCCCTAGCAAACTCTCAGAGCCTGCTTCCTCCTGGATTTGTGTACGTGCCTACACACACACAGCCTGATACTCTCTCTGCCGACTGCTTCCACCCCCACCTCCCCCCAGGCATGTCAATGCACAATCTGTCCACACACAGTCTGACACCTTCATCCCATTTAACTTGGAAGTGTGGGTAGGGCCTGGCTTGTCATCATACCCTTCTCCTTGCTGGGGAGAGGCTTTTCCCCCACTCCTATGTGACTGCTTTCTAGGACCTAGCCTGGCCTATGCTTGCTGGTGGAGGAGAGAGAAGCAGAGACCCTCTTGCTCCCTGAAATTGGTCATGCTCTTACCTAGGGAGTGGCCAAAACAGTGGGTCCCTGAAAGGTGGGAGAGAGTCCTAACCAACCCTTGACCCTCTCCTTCCCCTGAAAATAAGTGGAAAGGGTGAGGAAGTGGCATGGTTTCCTTGGTCTGATCTTGGACCTGAGACCTCTGAGCCCTGGTTCCTCTCCTATAGGGCTTTCATCTTTGGGATCCTTTGGACTCTAAGGAGATCAGAAGAGAACTGATCAAGCACCTATGTAGCCTAGCCCTGCCCAGAAGAGCCTCCCAGGAAAGAACGGCTTGTAGCTGGGCCTCAAGGCCCATCAGTGCTCTCAACAAGTATTTATTGTGTACTTACTAAATGCTAGGTGCTCGATAAGGTGTTGGAGACCTGGTAGTAAGAGATCCATAGGCCCTGTTCTCTAAGACTCGAGCAGGGGTCAGCAAACTTTCTTAAAGGTCCAGATGTTAAATATTTTAGACTTTGTAGGCCACATGGTCTCTGTCACAACAACTCAACTCTGCCTTTGTAGCTCCAAAGCAGCCATAGACAATAAATAAGCGAATGAATGTGGCTATGTGCTGATAAAACTTTATTTTAAAAAAGCTGGTGACCAGCCTATGGGCCATTGTTTACCAACTCTTGCTTTAGAAAGGAAGCTAGGTTAAAATTTTCAATAGTGATGCCTGTTTATTTATGTAAGTGTTAAGGAAATAAACAAGGAACTGATACAGGTCATATCTTGATGTTTTTTACTTTTAGTTGGAGGGATCTCTCTGAACATTTAAACTGAAGGATGAGAAGAAAGTAGGAGTATGGGAAGAGTATTCCAAGTATTCCAGGGAAAAGCATGTCAAGGCCCTGAAGTGGGAATAATCTCAGCAAACCATCCCAAAACTTAGTGCTTAAAAAACAACAACCATTTTATATATCAATATTTTTTTTGGATCAGAAATTTAGATGAGGCTCAGCTGGGTGATTCTTCTGTTCATATGACATCAGTGAAGATGCCTTGAAAAGGCCAGGTGGTTTTGAGCTGGTGAATAGGACCAGTCTGGAAAGCCGGCTTCACTTACAAGTCTGGCACCTAGTGGTGATACAGGAAGGCTGGGCTCAACTGAGACTGTTGATTGGAGCTTCTATATGTGGCCTCTCCACATGGTGGTCTCGTGGTAGATGGATTTTTTTATATAGTGGCTGAGGACTCCCAAAGAAGTATTCCAAGAGACCAGGTAGAAACTGCAAGGCAGTGATGTCAGTGTCGGAAATTGCACAGATTCACTTTTGTCGCATTCTGCTGGTCAAGTAGGTCATCTAAGACCAACTCAGATTCAAGGGAAAGAGGATTAGACTCCATCTCTCAGTGGGAGTAGCAGCAAAGAAATTGCAGCCATCTTTAATCTACCACGGCATGGTCTAGAAATGGAAAAAAGCCAGTGTGATTAGCATATGGTAAGAATGGGGAGATGAAGCTGAAAAGGTAGTCCGGAGCCAGGTGCTATAGGCTCCATGATGAGGAGCCTGGTGTATGTTTCAAGAAAGGCACTCCTGGTGGTGTGTGGAGCATGGAATGGAAGGGGTTAGGAGAGGAAGCAGGACAGGAAGCTGCCACAGTAGGTCATGTGGGAGATGGTAGTGATCTGGACTTCAGTAGTGGCAAGTGGAGATGGAAAGAAGATGCATTTGAGACAGATTTTGGAAGTGGCATAGATGGGCCATACCCATGATGGACTGGTTGAGGACAGTGATGGGGAAAAGGATTTAAGGATGACTTAGGTTTATGTCTTAATTTGTTCATTCATGTTGTGGATGAAGTGAAAGCCTGGGTGGGTAGGGGGAGCAAGCTTTCGAAGGGGACAGGATCAAGGCAGTCATTTGGGACATGGGGAGATGTAACTTTGTGAGTCATCTGTATAAAAAGGGTATAAAAATTTGTGGGAACGGATGAGGTGATCCAGGAAGAGAGAAAAGAGAAGCAGGCTCACCACAGGGCCCTGAGAAATTCCAACCCTGAGAGTCTGCGTGGAGGAGGAGGACATGTTAAAGGAGACCAGGAGATGAGAAGTAGCTGCTTTAGGGAAGTGGACTATGCCAAGTGCTTTGGAGAGTTTCAGTGAAATGAGGACAGAACTGTCCATTGGGTTTAGTAGTATGAGGTTGTTGATGACCTTGATGGGAGCAACTTCCGGAAGGGGTGGGGGCAGAAGGCAGGCAGGAGTTAGTTGAGTGAATGGGAAGTAGGGCAGTGGGTAGTGAGAAGTAGGTCCTAAAGGGGCTCAGAGAAATGATGTGATAACTGGAAAGGCATGTGGGGCCCCGGGGAATGTTTAAGGTAGGAGAAGCTGATAGGAACAGTCAAGATTGAGAGTGGAGAGATTGATGGGGTGGTGAGAGGGAGCTTCCTGAAGGAGCACTGCCCTTGAAAAAGGGGGAGGGGATGGGGTCTTTGGTGGGAGGACAGACAGGAGAGCATGATAGAGCTCAAGAAGGGGAAGATGGGGACAAGTATAAATGACTTAAGAGGGCTAAATTAATGGTGGGATGATGAAGGAGTTTGAACCTTTTCTGGGTGAAATGAACAAGACCATCAGCTGGATGTGGTTGGAGGAGGTTCTCAGAAGGTGTGAAGTAGTCATTCATCTTGACATGGAAAAGCAAATCTATTAAACAGAATGGCAGGACAGGGTTGAGATAGGAGATGGTCAGTTTAGAGAGGAAAACTAGTCACTCAGATGTGTATGGGGGTGCATGCACGTGCTTCCCCTTCATCGGTGTTCAGCAGCTTGGATGGAGACAGTGCAGAGTTGGGGTTTCACCCGAGGGGTACAAGAAAGGGAGAGAGAGGAGAGGCAGTTAAGATAACTTGCACGGGAGAAATTGTAATGATGGACTATGGGAGTCTAAGTTTAATCTGGATAAGATGGGAAATGAAGACAGGAGGTGACTTCAGAGGGGTTAGCAAATTGGAACTCTTGATAATGTAGAGCTCTACCATGGTGAGGGGTGGGGCAGGGAGTATATGTGAGCCAGAGACGATCACAGGTAAAGTCAGGGTCTGTGGTGTGAGGTGGAATGGCTGGCCAGGGAAGGAGCTTTGGGAGGTGAGTTCCAGGAATGGTGAGGCTAGAGGGTGGAATGAGAGCCTCTGTGGAGTGACAAAGTAGGAAACTGACAGATGTTGGAGAGGATGGTGTGAGCTAGGTGTGAACACCCTCAGTGGACAAGAGGAGTGACCAAAAGACCAGTGACTGATACCAAGAGGGGAAAGACAGAGCCTCTGAGGAGAGGGACTTTTGAAGAAGGGAGGGTGCATAGCGGTCTAGAAGGGCAGCCACAGCAATGAGAGTACGAGTGGCAGCTCTTGGCCTTTGAAGTACAGGGCTGTGAAGGAGAAACACCTTCCCCTTGAAAGAGTTTTGAGGGAGCAGCTCTAGGGGTCAAGTAGATTCCTAGAGAGATTGATTCCTCTGTCTTCTTTCTCCTACCCTCACCCTGAGGCTTTTGTCGAACTCTGTCTAAAGTAAACTCTCAGAAGAGGTAGGCTAGAGAGATGGACATGCAAGTGCCCTCCAGGGCACAGCCTGTACCAGCTTCTTCTGTGCTTTATCTCACATAGGCCTCAGTTCATCTCTGCAAGGGAGGTAACTCGCCCACAACTGCACCACTGACAGATCCCATCCCTCAGGATCTGGACCTAGGCAAATCTGAATCCAAAGCTCATTCTCAGATTGAGTGTAGTCCAACCTCCGATACCATTTGTACACCTCTGCAATACTTTGTCTCACTCTGCTTGAACATCCTGGGCAGTTCAGCCGTCAACTATCTTATTTATATTAATTTTCCATATTTTTTTAATATCTCTGATAAAGGGCAGGAGGAGGAGTACACGATCCTCTTGTCATCCCATAAACACACGCTCCCAGTTAGTAGATGACTCTTCAGTTAGCCCTAAGAAAAGCTGTTCTTTGTTCTGTGCTTTGAGCTCATTTGCCCTAGTCCCTCCATTGCTACAGGCAGTCGGGTGGGACTTGTGCCAGGTCATACTCGAGTTTCTCTTCCTCTTACCCATTACTATCCTGCTGGCAGATAAGGAAACGGGGGTGGTTGCCCATTTAGAATTTTCTTGGCCTTTTTAAAACAAAGAATCTGGGGTAGAAAGAAGATGAGAGGCTTCATTTTCATCTTCAGCCTGCCCCCACTGGCCATCTTGCTGACTTTCAGCTGATCACTTGCCCTCCTTGTCCTTATCTGAAATACTGGGTTGGCGATTCCTGTGGTGAGGGTTAAATGAGGTAGCACATGAGATATGGCTTTGGAGTAAAGCACCTAGCACTATTTCAGCACCGATGCGTGTTTTGCTTCTTGCTTGTTAGCACATTTTGTTTCTTGGAAGGTGAGTGGACCAGGCTGCCTCCCCCTAAACACGTATTTCTGCCTTTCTCAGCACAACCGGCAAGATGTTTACACTCTTTAACTCTGTACCTTTCCCTCAAGTATGCTGGCTGCTAGTGCTGTCAAACACTTTTTGGCCGCACGCTGTTCTAAGCCAAAGTCCTTCTCAGTAATTGAGTTCTGGCAAAGTTGCTACATCTAGGTTGACACATCTGAGAAAGAGCGGCCACCCCTTTCCCCAGTTACCAGGGCCCTTGGAGACTGCTGAGACAAACAAAGGGAATGGTGCAGAAGGTGGGGAGAGGTTTTCTATGAACTTCAGTTCATTGCACAGGAAACAGGTTTTTCTCAAAACCCTCTATCCCAAATAGGCAAAAATGAACAGAGGAGGAAAAAAGGAAAAAAAAAAAAAATTATGTGATGAAATTAGTGAATGGCACCTGAATTTGAGCCAAATTAAAGATGCTAGACCTTGGCCACTTCAGAGAGGAGCCAAAGACAGGAGGTGGGGGAACTCTGTTTAAAACACCTTCAATTTGAGGAAAACGCGCTGGCGCATGAGCAGGGAAGAGGCAAAGGGAAAGCGCCTCTCAGAGCCAGTATCCAGTAATCTCCAGTCGTCACTCTCATAAAAGTGCATGGATTCCTTTGGGGAAGGCTGGGAGAAAGATTAACAGTATCAATTTTTGGCAATGTAGTGAGGTCTTTCCTCAAGGGGACCCGAGCTCCCCTTCATTCAAGGGGTTTGGGTCTTTAAACTCGCTCAAGTCTGGGAATTGATTGAGGGGCCATTACTGTCTATTCTCGCAGTTCGAGTTAGACTTCTGTTCACTTGACCTAGAACTCTTCTGCTTATAAAGATCAAGTAAATAGTAAATTTCGTATCTATTTTACTCCTAGGGACAGTATTAAGTAACACGGTAAGTCCATATGAGTTGGACTATTCTGATCACTGCTTTGACTCTGCTGTCCATTACAGGTAACCATGCCCACTTTGTCGATTGAGTGCTGCCATTTGAACCCTACCACCACAGGGTCCAATCAGCCCCTTTGTAGTTAGGTGTTGTTATGAATTGAATTGTGTCCCCCCAAAATGTGTGTCAACTTGGCTAGGCCATGATTCCCACTATTGTATGTTTGTCCACCATTTTGTCATCTGATGTGATTTTCCTATGTGTTGTAAATCCTACCTCTGTGATGTTAATGAGGTAGGATTAGAGGCAGTTATGTTAATGCGGCAGGACTCAATCTACAAGGTTAGGTTGTATCTTGAGTCGATCTCTTTTGAGATATAAAAGAAAGAAATGAGTAAAGACGGGGGCCCACTAAGAATGAAGAACTGAGGTGGGGATAGGGGGGTGTCCTTTGGACCCAGGATCCCTGTGTTGAGAAGCTCCTAGACCAGGGAAAGATTTATGACAAGGACCTTCCCCCAGAGCTGACAGAGAAGGCCTTCCCCAGCTGGCACCCTGAATTTGGATTTCTAGCCTCCTAGACTGTGAGAGAATAAATTTCTGTTTGTTAAAGTCATCCACTTATGGTATTTCTGTTACAGCAGCACTAGATAACAAAGATAGATGTCTTAATTCAGTTAGGGCAGTTCCTACTGTCAAATCTGACTGACATAAAATAGCAATCATGGCAGTCTTCAAGGATACTGGGGCTCCCTTCACATATTTGTTCCTCACCATTGTGGTAAAAGGTGTGTCCTCTGGGTAGTGCTTGTGTGGGTCTGTGGTTCTAACCTGATAAATCCACTCTAACGTGCCAATTTCCCTAAGCCTCTGGATACCTTCTTCTATGGTATACCAAGGCAAGTCTGGTAATTCAACCTGATTTAGTGTAGGCCACTGAGTAATCAATGCTTCAGTGACCCAACCAAATAAACTATTAGATCCTTTCCTAACCTCTCGAGCTGAAACATTGAAGAATCTTCGCTTAGTGAGCCCATATCAATAAACTCAGACTGACCCATCTTTATGTTCCTTGCACAATTATCCCACACCCTTAATAGCCATTCCCACACATAGTCCCCAGGTTTCTGTTTGTACATATAAGAAAAGTCAAGCAGTTATTTTGGAGTGTAGCATACCTCCTCCTGGGTCACACTTTGTACTTCACCTTTTGGGGCTTGCTGGGACTTAAGTCTAGACATAGGTCTAGAAGCCAAAATGGGTGGTGGGGATGTGTTTTGAGAACATTTAGACATTGTCTTGTAAGCCATCTGCCTCATGCCATGTCTGAGGCAATGACTCAAAGACTTAAAACACAGCTGGGTTAATCTTACCAGATGGGGGTGGAGGGGCTAATGGTTTTACTGGGGAGGGTGGCTTAGCAGACAAACATGGAGTAATCTCTTCAGATGGGAGTGAAAGGACTGGTTCTGTTGGCAGGAGTGATTCAACAGAATTTAGGGGCTCAGTGTCCCCAGCTTCCTGATTATCTGCTCCTATGTCCCTATCCCAAGTTTCAGGATCCCATTTTTCCTCAATCAATGCCCTCACTTTAACTTCAGACAACTCTTGAGGTTGGCAGTTGAGTTGGTATTGTAATTCAGCCACTCTTAAGGATAAGACTTTGGTTTTGGTTTTTGGCAATATCAGCTCTGTTACTACAAGAAATAAGGCTTTCTTTCAAGGCACAAATGGAAACTTTGAGGTCGTTTATGTGGCGCTTGAGCTTTGAGTTTATCTGAAACCCTGAGTTCATCTCTTTCTTTCACTACTTCGTCTAGTGAAAGTAGGACCAACCAATCAGCTTCCTTATACTTCTTATTATGACAAAATTGTAGAAAGGTATCAAACGTGATCACCCAGAGCCTCCCCTCTCACCAATACGTGATATATTGGTGGTGATGTTTTGCGTATTTCTATTGCCACGTCATGCCATGGATTAGCAGTACCCTCTTTACTACTGGAAACAGAGTCATCAACACCTTTTAGACTAACCAGACTTGAGAACCAATTTAGAAAACTCATCCTTACAATTTCTCTAGAACCACTTTCAGTACCAAATGTCTTAGGCTAGGTTCTCTAGAGAAGCAAAATCATTGAAGTGTCTATATATATACGTATATAGAGAGAGAAAAAGAAATTTATATTAAGGAAATAGCTTATGCAGTTGTAGAGGCTGGAACGTCCCAAGTCTGTGGGTCAGGCTGGAGTCTTCTCCTGGATTCACATAGCCACAGGGGCTGCAGAACCCAAGATTGGCATGTCAGACAACAGGGCTCTGGCTCGCAGGCTGCAGAGGCCAACAAATCCTAAGATTGGCAGGTAAGCTGGCAGGCTGATGAATCCCAAGATTAATAGGTAAGTTGCTAGCTCAAGTCCCCAGAACTGGAGGTCAGATGAACAGGAGCCAGCTACAGGATCCAAAGAGAGCAAAAGCCCACAAGCTTTGCCGGAAAGTCCACATATATTCAATGCAGGCCACACCCCCAAGGAAACTCCCATTCAACTGATTGGCTGCTCACAGCAGATCCCATCATGGAGGAGATCACATTATATCAGATCTTATCATGGAAGGGATTACATCATACGACTGCCAAACTACATCATAACTGCCAAACCACTGAGAATTGTGGTCCAGCAAAGTTGACACACAACCTCAACCATCACAGCCCCCTACCCACAGAAACCCCCCTGAAAGAGAAGCCACATGGCCTCACCTCCCCGGTCCTCCTCTCTTCCCATCTGACCTGGCTTGAATATGGCTGTTCATGCTCCCTCCAGGGATGGAGGCAGTTTGTCAGAGGCCAGATGGACAAAAAAAAAAAAAAAACCAACCACCTCAGTGCCATTCTCACAGTTGCAAAGCAACAATTGCAAAGGGACACATGGAAGAACATGAAGGCAAAAGGAAGCCCCCCACCAAACACCACCTAGACTGGAGGGAGTCTGTGTGTCTAGGCTTTTCTCCAGAGTGCTCATCCTGATGCAGAGACACAAACTCAAGCCCCCTTTCGTCCCCCACCATGGGGTTCCACTACTTTCCATAAGCATTCCTGGCTAACGCAGTGGCAAAGGATATTTCTCCTTCTACAATGGGAGACAGCCCCTGTGTGGGGGTTTCAATATTACCCACAGTTCCAGTTCTTCCACCCTCTTCAGGCAGTTGAACAAGAGAAATGATACCTTTACAACATACTATTATCCTAATTCCAAGGTCGGGGGTTCAGACAAAGACCAGATAAACAGGGAGGAGCGCTTTTTTGGGGACACGAAAAGTGGAAGAACTGCCTCCAATTAAGTAAACAGGAAATAACAACATGAGGCCTGTTTGAAAATACTATAAAATAGAAAAGAAAGCAAACACTGGATGTAAATGATAGTATACTCTGGAAGATTTGTTCCAACAAACAAGCAGTATTTGCTCAGGGAATCTGAGGAAAACATACAGTCTAGAATAAGAGATGAAAGGTAAGACATGCAGAAACAGCTGGCAGCACTGAGGAAGGAACTTGATGAAATGGATACCATTATCAGAGACAGCATGAGCATCATTACCAGGGGAAAATTGTCAGTGATGTGGAGAGCAGGCGTAAGACAATCAGCTAGAACACAAAAAGTAGAAAGCAAAGTGATCAGAGAAAACATGGGAGATACAGAGGGCAGACAGTAGAAATCCAGAGGCTTGTTAATTGATAGAATAAAAATATGGACAGAATGCTTGTAAAAGGAATAATATTTTACGGGAAACGAGATCCAAACGGGAAAAAAAGATACAAATTTTGAAGACTAAAACAAGATGTTTGTCATTTCAAGAGCATTCATAAGGTAAGAGAATCAGGTCACTTACAATGTGTCTTAGTCATCTAGTGCTGTTATAACAAATACCACAAGTGGATGGCTTTAACAAACAGAAATTTATTCTGTCACAGTTTAGTAGGTTAGAAGTCTGAATTTAGGTTTCCAGCTCCAGGGGAAGGCTTGCTTTCTCTGTCAGCTCTGGGAGAAGTTCCTTGTCATCAATCTTCCCCTGGTCTAGGAGTTCTCAGCACAGGGATCTCGGGTCCAAAGGACAAACTATTCTCCTGGCTCTTGTTTCTTGGTAGTATGAGGTTTCCATGTCTCTTTCCTCTCCTCTCTCTTTTATATCTCAAAAGAGATTATCTTAAGACACAACTTGGTCTTGTAGACTGAGTCCTACCTCATTAACATAACTGCCTCTAATCCCACCTCACTAATCATCATAGAGGTAGGATTTACAACATACAGGAAAATCACATCAGGTGACAAAATGGTGGACAATTACACAATACTGGGAATCATGGCCTAGCCAAGTCGACAGATATTTTTGGAGGACACAATTCAATCTATGACACAATGGAAAAAAACTTCATATCTATCCAAACTGACATTCGAGAGCAAAAGCATGGATATTACCCATGTACCCTGGCTTGGAAAACACAGGCGTTTCTTAGCAATCTACAGATGAATCAAAGTAAAGAACAGGGTAAGAAATAATTGGTTGTGAACATTAGCTCCTATTATATGCAAATTTAATGCTAAATGTGTTAATGATGGCTGCAAAATAATATAAATTATCAATTGAAAGAAAATGTATATAATGTAAAAAAAATTATAAATAATTTTATTAGTATGCTAGTCCAAAAAATCCTAGATCATTCCAATAAAAGAGACAGGAAGCATAAAAATGTAATTTTATTGGGGACGTGAATAAGTACTGTTTGGTTTCTGATGGTGATAAAGCTCTTAGAATGGATTAAAAAATGAAATTTTACTATTTAAAGAAATATGGTTCTGGTTGAATATGAAAGGATGGGTAAATTGCAGTAAAAAAGTAAGGAATTGTCATAACATTAATAACAAAATCCAGTGCAAAAGCATTAGGTGGAACTAAGCTCTTTCATTGATCAAGAGATTATCCACAATGATCAGATAATTATCATTAATTTCATATTATATACAGCAAAATTCATTGCAAATGCAAGGAGAAATTGATAGAATAGTATTGGGTGACCACAAACACACTTGCCCCAGTCCTTGGTAGATAAATTGTCAGCCTGTAAGTATGA